TCCTCTTCAAAATATATGCCTGTTCCAGTCCATTCATATGCTGTTGCAAACGTGATCGATATTTACTCATTTCCATTTCATCCGTTGCTGATAGTGTCAATGCGGCAGTGCCGGAGTCCGCCAGCGATTGGATTGCAGACGGTGTCTGCTGTGACGATGAGCCACGAATACTACTTGCACCCACTAAATCACCGCCATTCACCAGATTGTTCAACGAGAGCAAACCACCCGCATCTGGTACCATACGATGTGATGACGATACTCCACAATTTTTGTCGACTTTAAGGATGGTCTGAAATTATTTCATGTTCGTCTTATTATCCTTACTATTTTCCAGCCATATTATCACATTTCACAATCAATCACCAGCGTTGCCATTCGTTTATTCTTATATTAATAACAATAACATTAATCATCACTACTATTGTCCAACTAAATTGTGTAAATCAACCACTACCCTAACACGATACCTCGAAGGACCAATGCAACAAAACACTCAGACAACATCAGTGAGATGCTGACTGTGGGATATGAGATAAATCAAGAAAGACAACAAAACTGACAACGAGTAAAATTACAATCATTACTACTACTTCATTATTAATTGAAGTTACAAGAAAAGTTCTATTAAGTTACGTAAGTAACACGAACAATACCATAAAAAGTGGAAATGCTCCCCCTCTCACCTGTACAGCTTGTCGATCATGTTTGAGCACATTCAATTCGTGTTGTGCTTGTCTTATTGTATGCTCTCGTCGCGAAATCATTTCGTCCAGAAACTCATTCATCAATATATTCTTACGTCTCACATCACCCAACGCAATTTGCTCTCGACGTTTTCTCAGCACATCCATCACGCGATCGATTGAACCCGCATCTAGACTCATCGCTAGATCCACTAGCTCATCGGATGTGCCTTCTGACGACGAAGCTCCACACTGCTTCTGAAACATCGTATCGTTGTAAATTTCACCAACTTCCCTCCATATACTCAACACTTGGCATTAAAATTACTCACTCCATACCAGAACAATTTCAATGCAAAATGGTTTCAGCTTCAATAATTCGTCACCCCGCACAAATTTTTAGAATAATGATTCATATATGATCATTTCAGGAAGTAGAGCTTGAACGGTCGTTGCATCGAGAGAGCAACTCTTACAATTAGTGCCACTCTTCAATCACAACATTCACTAAATTCTCGTATGTTTCCAAACAACTGCGTCAATATTTAATCTTAAGTTAAAAATACACAAAACAAAGAAAAAATCAACGAACCGCTGCCGATCGAATACTTCTCGCCACTTTGGCTTTCGAGCGGATCGAATCCGCAATTGCGGAAGCCGTAAAATTTGGAAAAACGATCGGGACACCGGTCATCGTGTCGAATTCACGTGCGCATACCGGACACCACGCAGATCGCTCCAAATGTGCACTGATACATTCACGACTGAAAGTATGGTCATTTCCGGTTTTTTGTTTTCAGCTATGAGATTCACTTCTAGTTGAATTTTGCTTCTATAGTTGGCTTGGACAAATCTATAACAAAGATTGAAGCATCTCATGAATTTTTCGGCCTAATAATCTATTCCGTTGAATGTGCAAACAATTAAATATTATCTAAAGAAGTATTATAGTATTCATTGACAAAAATGGTCATTATAAATCAGATAAAAAACGGTATTTGCGTCCTTCACAAATGTTTCAATGGATGCATGTACAACTAGACAGCTGAATGAACACATGAACTAAGTCAAAGAAAGAATATAAAAATGAGGCAATAATCAACGAAGTCGAGTGAACATACCAAAATGAATGGCCGCACACTGTAGAATAAGGCTCG